CTCCCATTACCTCTGTCGTGGGATAGGTATGCAATCCATGCATTTCCAAATCTTTGTTAGTATACGTGGTATTATTTTCTTCTTCATTGGCTTTATTGGGGTTGTTTGGTTGCAAGATATATAGCCAAGTTTTAGCAAGTATTTTGGTAAAATGAGCTACATTGGTCCTATCGCCTTCTTAAATTGCAATTTGCTCGTATACCTAAAGAAATTGTATAGGCATGCAATCCATGCATTTAGCAAGTATCTAGGCTAAAATTTTGATTGAATGAGTCTGGGGGTTGTTGAATATAAGAGATTTATATAACTTTTTCTCACTGTGCCTTTTAGTATCAGAGTATTCTCCTTGCTCTGTGAAATCAATTGTTCTTAAAGCTTTCATATTATGATTAATTACTTCAACGGGATGACATCATTACTATCATCATTATTTTTTCTTATAATTTTATTAGTTTTTTTTTTTTTTTTTTTTTTTTGCACTTTCGGTACTCACTGTTAAGCGAGTGGTGTATCTGAAATTCTGTTCTGTTTTGAAATAAATATATGTTTATGAAGTATCAAATATGTCACTATCATTGTTCTATTTTAAATAACTTTACTAAACATGGGCAAAATAATCATTTTTTTCAAAAATAACTGTCTCACAGCTGTTTTTACACAACTGCAACAAACAGACAATCACATTTTTCGCAGCAGCTTCCCTACAGCAGTTTCATGGGGCAGCACAGCTGCAGCTACCCCAAACTGATCATTAATTAATTGAGCTTAATCACAATTTTATAAATTTGAGTCTACACAGACACACATGCAAACTCATTCATCAACAAAAGGGAAAAAAAATTAATTTTGATTCACACATTTATGGTACTAAAATAAAATAATCAATGAAAAATATTAAGAAATAAACTAATCAAGATAAACGAGATTTGATTTTAAATATTTTTAATAACTTTGCCTATTCAATTTTGAATTTTTATGTAGTTCAATCGTCGAATATTGCTTGAGCTCTCTTAATTTGAAAAAAAATATTGTGTCCGGAATCTGGAAATAAGCTATGTCCAAACAACGAACGCGAGATGCAAAGAAAGATCAATTTTTTTCCTCAACTTCCTCGTGCATCCTGCATCCTCTGTCCACTCAACCTGTGTCGGAATTTCGAACGGAATATTTTCTCTTTATTTTAACACATTTACACTACTTATAAGAAAACAAAATGTCTCAAAATAAGTTTTTTTTTTTTTCCTCAGCAAAATATTTGATTTAATGAAGATTCCATTGATGATTGCGACGCGACAAAGCTCTATTTTTAAAATATAAAATATCTTATTTAGGTTTTTCTAGACTTAAAAGTATATTTTTATATCATGTTCCTTCTACCTGCGGATTGGAGCAGCTCATCTAACCATTTAAATAATAATAATAAAATAGACAAACTGCTAATTGGACCAGAAAATTTATTCAAGTCGGCGGCTTTTCCAACATCTCACGTCACTACTTTTGAAATCACCGTTTTTATTCCTCAGGAGCGGTTGTGTAAACGAGCCCTTCCGCTTCAAAATTGTGTTCTTGTTCGACTCATTTGTTTAACAGGTCGAACACGAGCTGTTCACGAACATTGAGTCATTTTGACAGCCCTAATCACATAGCTATAAGATGTAATGAATTGCGGCCAGATTTAAAACTCATTTGCTTAGCAGGCCGAACAAGAGCTGTTCACGAATATTGAGTCATTTTGACAACACTAATCACATAGCTATAAGATGTAATGAATTGGGGCCAGATTTAAAAACTATTGTTTATATTAAAACATCATTTGAATTTTTCTAATTTTAATTCTAATTTAAATATATTATAAATCTTTATAGGTTTGTAGTCATTTAAACTTTAAATATATATATATATATATAATTGATTAATATTATTTCGAACCAAAACGAGCCGAGCCGAATACGAACGAACAAATCTTTGTTCGTGTTGTTCGTGTTCGGCTCGTTAACTTAGCGAACGAGTCGAACACGAGCTTCTTAACAAGTCGAACACTAGTTGTTTGAGAACAACACGCTGTTTTGACAGCACTATTTACGAGAGTTCCTTTTTTCATTTTTTAAGTACATTGGAGCCTTTACATACATTCCACTCAATCTCTATGTATTTACATATCTAACCTCTAAACTTTATTTTTTTACATTTCTACCATCAAAAGCTACTATCATTTAAAATTTTAAAAAGTGAAATATATAATTTCTTGCATTGGAAATTAGTGCCATACATGCTTAACTTCCGATGCTCTTCCAAGCCTTCCATTTGGGGCCTGGACACAAATAATAGGTAGATTTACATACATACCACTCGATTCTTATGTATTTACATATATCGGTTATCAGTTTCAATTTAGCTTGATTAAAATTTATTAAAATTCCTTAAGTTTATAATTTCATAAATTTTAATCCCTTATAGAAATTAAAATGATATATAAACTAAATTTAAACATAGTTCAATTGTGTGTATCCAAAGCTAATGTACAAGATTCGAGCCGTTGCGCGGGTTGGCCGGTCAGGCCAACAAGGTAGCTCGACTAGAATGCCTGTCGAGA